ATTTAATCTTGATTATTGCTGTTCTCGACTTTTGTATGGCGAGAGATGTTTTAATGACGTTGAAACATCCGGTGATCACAGTGCTTCATGAAGTCTGATGAAGTTCTAAACAAAAAGATTGGGGAAAAAGTATGTTCAGTTCGATCTTACTTGGGGCGATCCGGGTCAGTCAAAGCAAAGAAAGACTAGTAAATACTGGATTACATTACTGTACGTTTACAGTGCAGTATTTGGTTCCTGCTGTTTTACATAAAAAAGGATTGTTTGTGGACATTTAAAAAGATAACTGTTTGTCAATCGCGAAAATTTATTTTTTAGCGAGAAGTTGACGGTCTCAGATTAGGCGTCAGGTCTCAGCGATAGTGTTTTGCGTGACGATTGCTTAGATTTTGTTGACTTGAATTGGCCGCAGAATGAATCCAAAACTATATCCGCCAAAGTACAAGGTTTTTCTCAGAAGTCATCGGAATCGCCTGAAAATCGTGATTACGGTGGAATGAATCATAAATATTCATTTCCACCGACTGCTTGTGAGAGTAAAGCCTTCATTTCCGCACTGGAAAGCATGTACAGTACTGTAGTAGCAAATCTTTTATGGGCTCCAGGAGGATTTCCTGCAGGAAATGTCGAAGGCTTAATTTTTTGTTCACTTCTTTGGAGGTATCTATCCAGTCCCAAAACTTCTGGAATTTCTTATTTACTTGGTACCATCTTGTTTCTCAAAATACGGAGAAAAGAAAGAAGGGTGCTCGTAATTTCTGTTTATGCATTTTTCTGAAACTTTTCTTTTTATAAATTTAGGTAATCATCATACTTGATTCTAAAGGAAACCTTTGATGCCTATTCAACATTACGGTTTCCTTCGTGGAAATAAATCGGAAATTGATTGAATCCAGGTTCAGTCCGAGTCAAAATTTAAATTTCACCGTGTGTTATTTCAGAGATATTGCAATTTTTAATCACGAAAAATTAGTTGCGCGTCTTAGTGAAGGGCACATGGGACGATTCTCGGATAAATTCGATGGCTACTGTATTCTGCGGTATCTTAAGGCTGTACTTTGGTTACAGGATTTGGGTGAGAAATTCTTACGGTATACGAGATTTTTGCAAATGAATGGTACCGAGAACAAGAAACTTCTAAAGAAATTATGCTCATTTTGAAGCCAGCTGTTGTAGGACAACTGTGTAACCTTGGGACTGTGTACCCTTGGGCCTGGCTCAGTTACAGAAAAGTCTGAAGAAGATACGAAAAAAATCCGGAAGTGAAGATCACTGCAAACAAACAAAAACCTGAATTAAGCCATTTTTAAAGTTAATTTTACGCTTTCATCTGCTATATCAATAGAGATCTTTAAAACCATTCATTATCACACAGGAATTCAGATTTGCCTATAACTCTCGGAATTGGAATTTTCAGTGGAAATTAAGAACCAGGTTCCTGCGATTAATTTTTTAGTCAGTGCCTCGCTCCGACTTCTGGGAAACCCTTCGATCGTGCTCGTAGAAAAGTTTGAAGTACAGTATTGTAGTAGCTTGATGGGCGAAGAGAATTGTTGAATGAAGGGAGACGGTGTGATTGCTTCCATTTGCTCATCCAAGTGTAGAGGAGCCCCGCAATTGCAAACTCGAATCCCGAATTGAGGCGTAACATCTATGAGTAGTCAAAGCGCATTCTCGTTCCTGTTTTGTTTTTTTTTTTTTGTGTGAGGATAATCGACACCGTCTCAATGCAGTATTTTGTTCACTTCGGGGGGCAACAGTGCAAATATGCAGCTGGACAACGACGTGACTCCGGTGTATCTGGCCGCCCAAGAGGGACATCTGGACGTTTTACGGTACCTGGTTGAACGAGCCGGTGGAGATTTGCTGATTCGCACCAAGGACGGAATGGCCCCGCTGCACGCTTCTGCCCAAATGGGTTGTCTGCACGCCCTGCGATGGATGGTCTGTGATTCTCCTCGTTGTTCCTCCTCCATCTTCTTCTTCTTCGTCCTCTTCTTCACGTTTTGATTCTTCCGGTTTCCACCCCCGCGTACATCCGATCCAGCGGTTCCGATGCTGGCGGAACTCCGTCCGGATGCCGCTAGTCGAGCATGTTGAAGGAAAGACGTGGCTGACCGGAAACCAGTGGAAAACATCTTTTAAAGTTTAAACTGAAGTAGAGCATTTACTCGGATGTTCAAGATATGACGTTGGACAAGAAAAGTCGCTTTTTTTTTAAATTACAGTACAATACAGTCAAATCTCGATGCAACAAACTTTTGGGGACTCGCGAAAATTTTTATACTGAATAATTTGTTAAAATAAGATTTTTCAAAATTTATGACTGGAAAACATTTTTTACACCAGATTTGCCTTTAATTATTTTTATGGCATGCTCAGATTTTTTATTATTGTTTGAAAAATTGAGGGATCTTCTCGAAAAATTAGCTTCTAATACGCAATCAATCATTTGCACCAATCTCTTCATTCTGGGACGATGATGGATGGGTGGAACCCCTTTTAGGCATGTTTTTGTTTGATCACAGTTTCTATGCATGCTAAAAGAACTAGTCAGTCAGGCTTGGGATTGTAAATTTCGCAGGGTATGCCTTAGTCAGGAAATTTCTATCTAGAGAGTCGATAAAAAATTCCTTTAAATAATTTTGTTATACTGAAATTGGGAATTTTGTTATGATGAAATTGTTTCAAAGTTTATTCTTTGGGCTTCCTGTTAGGACTTGAGAAAAAGTTTGTTATGCATGTGCTGCAAAATTTGTTGTCATGGTAAGAAGATTTTACTGCATTTATTCAAGTACTACACGGCCTTGGGTAAGACGCGCAGCTTTGATTTTTAGCTAAAATTTTTGGGGGAAATTGTATCCTCGCGTAAAATGCTCTCCTTTGTTTTCAATTACTGTACCTAAATTTTCTATTCGAAAAACTGTTAGGTAAAAATCTAAATTCAAGATCACTTCAAAGTCAAATTGAATAATGCTATTTTTATTCCATGGAAATCATTGAATCATTAAAATAGATAACTCTGAAAAAAATTTGAAATCCGGGAGAACATTTTCAGAATTTTAAAATTTTTCACTGGAAAATTGTTACCCGAATATGGCGCGCACCTCACTTTTTCTGCCAATTTCTGGTGGAAGAACAAAGGGTGCTTGCGGTACTCGCGTAGTCTAAGGAAAATCGATAACAACTGAATCATTTATATTTTTATTTTTGCCCTCCCTTCAAACATTTTATGAAAGTTCGTAAGCATGTTTTTTTAAAGAAATCCTGAGATATCTTCCTTGAGCAGAATCGTTGAAAAAAAAAAACTACTTGCGAGTCACTTCAAGGAATTCGTAAATGGGACAATATTCATGAAACCTTTCAACACTCGTAAGAAAACACGTGACGACTTATTTTCTTGGTACGATTCATTCAAATACGTATGTTGATCGTATGAATACTCTACACTTGAATGTACGGTCTTAACAAGAGACATCATCCGCAAGATGATTGATGAAATTAGGATCTCTTTCCATGTTATTGTTTGAACTGTTCAGGAGGAACAACATGTAGTAATATTTCATATGCTTTTTCTGAACGCCTGAATCCTGAGGCTGCTTGAAAACGCGTCATCCAGTCAAGTAACGAGCTTCTTTAAGATCACCTTTCGTAATACTGTAGCTCTTTTCTTTTTCGAATTAGAATTTGTGGGTCAATTGGATTTAACTCCCGTGACTGGTTTTAATCGCAACTTTGGTCATTTTTAATGACTTTTGTTTCAAAAACAAAACCTTACGTCCATTTTTAGGACTCCCCTCCCTCGGTTGCGTCAGTCTTGATGAACCTTGTGATTCTAATTTTTTTCAATGCTTGATGTTGTAATTGGAGAATGACCTAAATATTTTGTAACGAACTCCGAGGAATATGATGAAAAGAGTTTGTTGTACTAACTTTTTTGAAGCTGATATTATTTTTATGTATGTCTGTTGGTTTTGTTCGCTTGAAGTCAGGAAAGCACATACAGTACTCAGACGATGGTCCCTCGGTAGAATCCGTGTCATAGTTACTTCTTCAAATAATGTGTAATTTTCACTGGCTAAAAATTGTGTTCCACTTGCTTTCGTCAGATTATAAAATTTATAATTTTCTTGATGCGATCATGAGAGGAATTTCTCACGATTTCAAACACTGCAGATGCATTAGCAGCACTTTTTTCTCAGGAGACTCGGTTGCCTTCGTGGTCATAACTTTCAGATATTATCATCAGCTAGATTTTTGCTTCAATTACTGTTGACACTTGGCGAAGTCAGAGCATCAATTTTTAGACTGGTGAGAAGCAGTTGATCAACGAACTGATTGATTTCAGTTTTTCCTGGAATATCCGCGGATCTCTCAGAAACTGAAGTCATTTTGAAGTTTCTGTAACGATTCTGAGTTGTGCTTGTTCTCCTGGGATACGCATTTTCAGCAATGAAAAAATATTGAAAAAAGAATGTGTGCCAAATTCTGCGTTGGTTGCTTTTCAATTAGGTTATTTTATAAAACTCGCAAAAATTGCAGTATTACTGCAAGGGCTTCGCAAAAATTTTGCTGGAGAGTGTGTTATATACCGTAGTACAGTACTGTAATCTACCATAATTTTTTTCGCATTGAGATGCTACTGTTACTTCATCACTGAAAATCAACGCTTCCCATAGTTGAGTGATAGACATCCGAGGTTTTAGTAAGATATGAAGCTCATCTGTTCCAATATCCTGATTTAGATCAACGGCATGCATTATTTGTAAGCTAGGTGAGGTTTAAACAGCTTTGAGTTCGGGGCGAGACTTTAGAAATAAATTAGAAATCCAAACTTTCTTCACTCAAAGGTTCTGGTGGTTCTAGTACTCCTTTAATCTACTTGATCCCTTTTCGCAGGAAGTCTATAGACCGAGTATTTTGAAGGGATCCAGGACAATTCGAGACAGGGAAAATTTGAGACCGACACATTTCGAGACAGAAGCATTTTCAAATTGACTTTCCTGGGTTTCTCCCTCAAATTTTCAATTGAAGGTGTGAAAAGGCACAAAAATTTCACTTTTTCAAAAGTTAGGCTAATTATGTTTTCCCACTTTAGACGAATAATTGAATTAAAACAGCAAGCTAGGAATCTTTTTTTTTTTACGAACTTGTTCTTTCATTCCTCTCTTGATCCATTGCAATACGCTGTAATGTACAGAAAAGCACATCGGCAAATCCTTCATCATTTTTCTTACTGGCAAAATATTGGCAGAAGTAAACTGCAGAAATTATTCTCTTTTCGATTGAAAATGAGTCCAAAAAGCAAGAAAAAATACACATATTCCTGTACTGTACTTGACAGTCCCTACCTCAAATTGTCCTGTCTCAAATTTTCCGTCTTAAGTTGTCCGTATCCCATTTTGAAGCAACATAAAAGCGCTGATTGCCTTAATTGCTACAAGACCCTTCACCTTCCATGAAAACGTTTCCGAATAAGTTGTGTGCAGCTACCGAGTATGGGTTCGGCTGATCAATTCCAGAACCCTTACGATTATCCTTCACGAAACGTTCAAAAGAAGTTCAGAATAATTGAACGTTCAACGTAGCATTACAGTGAAAGTCCCCGGAGACCAGAAAAATACTGCTTGACAGAACGAAAAATGTCGATAAAACTTGGATTCCCTTGCAAAATATTATGCTGTCAAGCACGTACTCCGCCGCAATTCAAACTGGTTTTTGAAGCGCAAGCAATTTCTTTGTCCACATTTCGGCATGAAAATCTGTGGCAACCTGAATCTAATGTTCGGGGGGGGGGGTGGTCCGTCATTTGAAGCGTAAATTATCCGGGATCCCACTGTTATTCGTCGAATTTTTTTTCGAACCCCGATTTGTGGGCTCAAGAATATTTCCTCTTCATTCTAGTGCTTTTCCCCTTACTATATCGGATTAAAACTCGCCTCGGTTTGATGCTTGGTTTCAGATTCGATCCCGAGGGATAGACATGAACTTGTCGGACGAGGACGGAGCGACGTCTCTGCATTTCGCTGCCTCCCGGGGTCACCTGCACGTGGTTAAGTGGCTTTTGAGGAACGGGGCACGGATCGTGCCGGACAAGTCGGGAAAGACGCCCTTGGACGACGCGGCAGAGAACAAGCAGGCTGAGGTATTGATTCAGCGAGTCCCTTTAAATAGTAGTGTACCAGGGCTTTCCAGCCTGTGGTCTGCGTACCACTCACTGATGGTACGTTTGGAAATGTGCCCGATGGTGCGCACGAAAAATAAATTCAAATTCTTCGAGTGAGGCATGTGATTCTTTTGAAAAAAATAACTCGAGTCACAAACCAACTTGATGGGAGGGTTTCGGATGATAGTTTAGAGAGGTCTATGGTTTAGGTAATTCCATTTCCATCCGGAGTCATGAAAAACGAATACTGTACATTCCGGGTTGAATTTATTGTTCGTATCGTCTGTTCAAATGTTTTCTCTCCTTTTTGCATGCCTGGGCATCGCTCACTGGGTGTAGGTAATTGGGAACTCAGATCGTGGAGAAAATCATGAGACCATCCATTTAAAATGTTTGGAGCAAGAAATTCATGCAAGGATGGTGGACTGTTATTTTTTTTTTTTAGGTTTAGCTGAAAAATGCTTTTGAAGTGTGCAGTTTACAGGAAATTCTATGAATAGAAGCATTCAGCTGAGTGAGTCATTCGCCCAAGTCCAGAATACAGTTGTGGTACTAGTGGCTAAATGTTGAAAATCTGAAGCCAGGCGTGGTTCTGTTGGTTCACGTTCCAGAGGTGTTACGTGACCGCATGTTGATATTGTTAGTTGTGCAATCCACAAAAAAATATTGGAGAAGTTTTCGTGCTTTAACGATTGATACGCTTGCTTCCAGTAAATTATCTCCCAAGATTTTCTTGCCGTAGAGGTGTAGAGGTAAGTTTTTCGAATCCGGGGGTATTGTTATAAGAGGTTGATTGAAGCAAATACAAATATCTTGCAAAAAGATCAAGAAGAATACGAAATAAAAATTTTCGAAATTTCCTCTGAAATCTTAGTAAGCGGTATCATGGATGTTGAGTATTCTATACAAATTTCGAAATCAAATATTGTTGAATTAATGCAGCATTGTACCTTTTCAATTTGAGCAAGAACCGCACGTAATGCCCATGAAGTATTCTGCGACAGTTCTGTGTCTTGAAGTAATGTAATCTGGTAAAAGATTTGGATGTTGTGTGGTATGAGGGATCTCTTTGTGGACCCGAAGTCATGAAGAACAATTACCCCGGATTTAATTACTATTTTTTGTTGATTAAAAAATTTGTTTCTGCTTATTCGGACATCGCTAAGGAGGATGTAGAAGTAGGCAATGTTTTGGAGAACTCAGACCTTGCAGAAAATCATGACGGATCATCAGTGTAAAATGTGTGAAGGAAGAAATTTATGCAAAGATAGTCAACTGGATTTTTCATCTAGATTTCATAACATAAGCAAAATATAATTCAAAGTTTTTCGGTGTGTAGGATGAGCACATGTGCTCCACCCGTTTGATCTGATCATCTGAAAGTTTCGAAGTATCTTGTGTCGCTGTTCTTTGCTGTACGAAAACCGTACGTCCCACGTGCGAGGGTTGATTATAATATAATCAAGTATAATAGAATTATAATTGGCTATAATATAATCGAAGGTTGATTATAATATAATCAACCTGTATAATTTTCCTGTATAATTTTTAATGGTTACATTGATGCCAGTGGGCTTGCATGAAATAAGAATGTGGAAATATATTTCTGATGGATTCATAGATTATTGATTTTTTTTTTTAAAGGAATCAAAGGGATTTTGAGTGGAAAGAGGCTTCTTTGGATTCTGCATACAATTATTGTAGAATTATCATAAGGACAGGTATTAATTTACACTTTTCTTGAACATCTCGAAAAAAATGTCAATTGCTACCAGCAGGATAAAGGACAAAATATTCTTTTAGCTCATAAATTTATGATAAAAAAGTTTTTGCAAATCTCTATGAATGAGATATTTTCCTCTACAATTGGAACCCAGCTCACTCCGCTTTTGTGTTTCATTCTGGGATACAGGACAGGACGAACAAAATAATGTATAAGAAAATCCTACAGGTACTTATAATTTTAAAAAGTAAGTCAAACACATTGAAGAAATGTGTCAGTTTTGAACCCAATCAACTCGAGTATGCCATCTTTTTACTGAACAATTCTCGTTTAAATTTTAATGAATTTGTTGTGTTTTTGGAAACTGTTTTTCGACCTTTCGATAGTACCACCGCCATGATATGAAAATTTTTTTGTTGGAAATGTTGGGTTCCGAACACAACCAATGGTTTTGCCTCGGACTGAGGATATAGACGTTAGTTGATACTGTTATTTCAAAATTAATGTGACGTTTACGACCGAATAACGTTCCCGTCATTCGGTTGCATTAATACTTAGCATAACTACGAGTACATTCTCGAGTACTTCTGCTTATGCAGTACTCCATCCTCCTTTTTGGTTATTATTTTTCATTTGCTTGCCGGTTCAGATTTTACGTTATTTTTTTACCTTGAGTAAAAGCCGAGTGCTAGCCAAGGAACATCTCGCATACCACTGGTTGAAAAGTTTTTTCGTGCGTTGGATATTTCTTCAGAGTTTACCTGGAGTAATCGTATTCCTTTCAGGACCTTTTGATTCTTCAACTCAAACTGGCAAAAAAATTGCATCTCTTTTATTTCTGAGCATTATTTTTCTCCCAACTGTTGAATTGAAATTTTTTCATCTGCAGCGTCTGCGTTTTTGTAAAATCTTGACCAGTCGTTTTGTTTTTGTAAGACCTAGCTTTTTGGGCTATTTTTCGAATTGAAGAAGTCCTAGCCTTTTTGCTGCATTTTGTTTTTATTCGAAATGTAATGGGAACGTTGTCGATGAAATTTTATTGGAGTACCCTTAAAAATGTCGTTTTGTGGCAAACTTTGCGGAGAACGTCTGGTTGTAATGCGGACATTCTCCCTATTCTAAATTCACCTGCTTCTGTGTATACACGAATGAAACTTTCCGCGAGAATGACTTGCTTGGATTCGGGTTATTGTCCCTTTTTCTCCGACTTTTTCAGTGCCTGGTTGCTCTTGAGAAGCATTCAGCTGCGTCGAAGTCTCGGGTTGTTTCCAAGCAGGTGCGTTTTTACATTTACTCCCCACTAAACCCAGAGGGGAAGAAATTCCAATTTATTTCTTGCTTGTTTGTCATCTCATAAAATCAAGGTAGAACTGGTCTGAAATTTTTATATTTTTTCGTATTATTTTGAAAATTACCTTCGAACCGTCGGGACCGGGAGAATTCCTTGTGTGCCAGATTCGAGTAAAAAGATTTGCGCATACGGTTTCGGAGTCTTGTTCTTCCCATTTTTGAGGATAAAGATGGACGTAATTTTTACAGCTTAATATCTGATCACATCCTGGCCATTGTCCTAATTTTTGCTTACCCAGGTTTAATTGTGCAAATGACAAGAGCTCAGAATCGCAAAAAAAAATATGGAATTAAGTTTACCTGCCGCATCTGGATGCTTTATGGATTTTTGGATTGTCCAAACAGGATCAAATGTAACAGAATTTTGAAAATTTTTCTCATAAAAATGACCCAGTTCTGATAAACATACTTCCATGAAAACTAGTTCTGGTTTTCGCCACCTTCATCGAAATGATGCTGAATACGCGGACCTTTCGGAATGAGAACGAAATTAAAATAATTTCCGAAATTAAAAAGGTGTGGTGCATTAATTGACAATTGTTGGTTATATTCATTTGGCGTCGTTTTTCGCTGCCCTTTTTTTTTTGCATTCGGTGGACGGGCGCAACTTTTCCAGCTTTCGCAATGCGTTATTTTTGCGGCGATTCACTTGAGATTGAAAGTTATTTTTAATGCTTAATGATCTTCTGTAATTTCGATTCTGTGACCATTTTTCTATCGAAATAAATACTTCGTGACATATCGACGAGAAATTCGCGAGTGCTGACTTTTGACGCCTACACACACACGCGCAAAAAAAAAAAGAAGAAAAATGCAAGCATCCAAAGAGTAATCTTGATTATTGCCTCGCCTCAGGACACGAGTCTGAGACAGCGCGACGGTTCGCCGAGACGGGATTCCCTGGGCGGTTCCGCGACTTCGGCGTCAGGAGAAACGGGTTCGATCCGGGGCCAGAGTTCGATTCCTCGAAGCGAAAACTCCTCCGAGCCGTTTTATTTGCATCCGCCTTCAGTGTCTGTGGAGAGCATCTCGAGCGTGCCGGTGAAGAATGAAACTAGCTGCGAGGAGGGAAAGAATCTAGTGACGGCCGATGCTTGCGAAGGGACGCCCGGAGATTCGCATGTGACGTCAACAGTTTCGCTTTTCCGGAATAGTCACGGTCGAGAGGCTGAGACCGCGCTTTCAACAGCCGTCGACGCGGGGTATTCATCAGGTAAACTAAGATCCGTGCCTTGATCTTCTCCCTAGTTCTTTCACTATCGAACAGTGCGCCTGTCCCCGTTGCGGGGTTCCCAGAGATCGAATCATGCCGTATTCATGGCGTTAACTCCAAGACGGAAAACAGTACTCCGCAGTTTTACCCTGATGAAAGAGAAAAAAAAGAAGAAGAAGAAGCGTTCATAGTATTTTACGATGCGGAACGAGAAAGAAGTCAAGTGCAGTACTATCCACCAATCCTCTTACAACAATACCTCGTTAATAATTTCCCGGCCGTCACGTGTAAATTAATGTCCAATTAATGACCAATCAATTTTAAAGATTTTTTTCTATAACCCGAGGGCATTCGAAACTAAGACATGATAGCTGCGTTTTGCCGTCATTGGAGTCGGTTCTCGGCCACTTTTTTGTTTTATCTCTACGCACAACTCCCAACAGACATTGAATCAAAAATTTTAAAATTCTGAAAACCATTATTCTCAACAGTAGAATTAAGATTCCTGTATTCGCTGCTGAGGATTCATTCGAAGATGCGTAAGATTCTGATGATGCCTTATACGGTATTCAATTTTGCAAATACCTGTATTAAAAAAATCTATATACAGTACAGTAAATAAACAGTTACAGTATTAAATAGTCTTGCGTTGCGGAAAAATTACCTTGTTTGAACATTACGGCTCTAAGGATGTGTGATTGTTCAAAGCTCGTCCATAAAGGAATAAAGTTTGAGATTAACAGTTCAAAACTTTTTGGAAGACCGAAGAATTTCCATTCCAGTCAACTCTGTCATGTTATCATCCAATCCATCGGATGCGTATCTAAATGCGTGTTTCGTTTTATATTTTTTTGCTAATTAAGAAAACTACTTACCGCATTGTTTATTGCTTTCTGAGTTATTCGGTTTTCCGCAGAGTTTCCGGAGTATTTCTTGTGTCGATTGACTGTTTCGTAAAACGCTAATGTATTTGCGGCGATACCCGAGATTATGCGAAAACTCGGAATTATTTTTTTATATTGGCTCATTTCGAACTAAAAGCGTAGTATTGAATATTACTGCATGGAAATTCCTTTTATTCTCCACTTATTGAAAATTTGAAGTTTTCGCCGTTTTATGGGCTGCGTTGCCCAAACAATATTTTCTGTTCGAACTGGTATTTTTTTCTGCGCAAAATTTGGGGGCGGTTTATACTGTACAAGTGTAAATGCTAGAGGTTCGTGCCGTTCTTACGCCATGGCTTCTGCGAAATTATATTTATGCAGCCGACCGCATGACGAAAGTAATTGCTTTCCAGGACTAAGCGGCATCACGTCAGGAGTCACGGAGTCCGCGTCGATGAAGACGTCGCCTGATGACAGCGAGCCGTTTTTCCTCCACCGGCCGCCGTCCAGCTCGATTATCGCCGCCAGCCACGTTGTGTGCGCCGCGAATCCCAACGTCCTGCGCGGCGATTGCGCTGAGAAAATGCTTGCGAGGAATCTGGAAAGCGTCAGGCAATGCAGGCATTGCTCGAGTGAGTCCAACAAGCCTGAGCGGAAAATCGCAGTGACGGAAGGTACGTACGAATCATCTCATTCACGCGAATATGAGACGCGTAGATTATTTTTATTTTTTTACATTTTGAATCATACAAAAATCTGAGGTCGTTTTAGAATCCACTGCCTCTTGGTTTTTCCCATGCTGTATTACGATTTCGCAAAAACGCTGAAGAACGATTCGAACTGCACTCGAACTTTAGGGAACCAGAAAAAAAAAAAACTTCCAGCTATGAAGGCTTTAAGTTGGAAAAACAAGTATTTTCGATGGTAGAAAGAAAGAAAGGGTTGAAGGATTTGGAATTGGTGAAATTCTGGGCCTTAAATTTCTTCTTGAATGAGTTGACAGGATGCTGAAATTGAAGGCAAGGTTTCATTGCCCAATTAGTTTTTCACTTCCTTTCAAAACACGTCGTTACATTTGTCTTGCTTTTTTTCTTTTTCCTGCGTTGATGAAATAATAGTCAAAAGGCCTTCAGAAAATTCAGTGAGAGAAAAAGCCTTTGAGTTGATCAGGTTTTGACTGCATTTTGCTAAGGGAATTCAGACAGAGACTTTGAAAAATATTGTACTGCATTCGACACGACGAGGTGGTGGTTTTTATCGTTTAAGTATTCGACTTAGAGAGGTTCGAGTTATTCAGGTTCAACTGAATGAGAAAACATGATTTGGAAGCAAAAATGCAGGACAATTTATTTCTATGTGCAACAGTTTTTGCGAAGGGTCGTTTTGATGAGATTTCTTGCGAAGTAAGTCTCACTCGAAAAATGAATAAAATAGAGTCTTCCCTTTCATTTCGCCGTATTGTGTTCAATTGTGTTTGACTTGCGGAAAATGCTGTAAATTATATTTTTGTTGTAAAATCCATGCTTTTTTATCTGCTGTGCAAAAGAGTTTCTGGCGTATCTTTCAGCAAATGCCATACCGATAATTATAGATGCACTCCCTCTACGACGAAACTCAAGGGACTTGAAAAAAAAAATTCGTTGTAGAGAATCCCTATTACTGCACTGTGAAACTCGCTGTAGACAAGATCGTCGTAAAGGGAGTCCACCTGTATACGGTATATATTTACTGGCAGACTTTTTTTTTAGTTGGGTGACTGACAAATTAAGGTGCCTTTTAAAATGGATAATATTTCATATTCGCATGAATAAGGTGTTACTTATCCTGAGCTGTTTATTTATACTTAAATAAAATTATGCGTTTTCGTGCAGAATCGCCTTCGGGAACGACCAGCTCGAGCTTTCATTCCTTGGAAGATAACAGGATCGACCCTCGGAATCACGAGTACGAAGATGTTCGCTTTTCGTCAAGTGAATCTGGATCCGCCGGCAACATGCTTTCGAGTCAGAACGGTTTTATTGCTTCATTGTTCACATTATTAATAACACGGTATTTCTTAGGCTCCATGTCTTTGAGTTTTGGAGGCGATCATAAATCAAGCACTGAGGATTCTGACTCGCCCTCACGCAACTCGTACAGAAACATATCCGTGATAAAAATGTGAGCTTTATCTGTCGCTTGAACTTAAAGGCGGGATTTAAATTCCACTTCTTTCAGAGAAAGTTCTTCCGCTGAGCCGTCCGTCATTCAGGAAAATTCACTGGATTCATCTTTGTGTAGCCATGAATTGGTTTTGAATGGAAGCGACGAAAGAGTTCCAGCGAAAGCTGATGAGGTGGAAGCGGAAAAATTGGACGAGGATGACGGTAAGTGCATGCGTCTCGAAATTTCTTTTCAATTTCGAGGCACACTCGCGAATTGATGAAAGAAAGCTGCGAGTTTCTCCTTTCAGTTGATTTCCACGTGTATTATTTTATTAGGACACAATGGTATTCCGGGGCCTTTTCACGATCATTTCAAAAGGAAATTGAAATTTCTCACGGCTCATTAGTTGATTTTGAATAACACTGGAGAGTTTCATTAACTGGCTCCTTATTTTCAATGTAGTCTATGAAGCCTTTTTTTTTGTTTCCATCTTTGGCCAACTTCGCGGGAAAGTCAAGTTTTTGCGAAAATGAAAATCCACGAATTATAAATTTTTAATGTTTTAATTTTAATTACCGCAATGAACATGGTTTTCAGTAGAAAACTAGTAAATTTATAATTTCTTCGAGACCGAATTCAATTTTCCAGTGGGTATTATTCGTAGTTTTTGATACGTTGGAGTTAGGATTANAATGTTTTAATTTTAATTACCGCAATGAACATGGTTTTCAGTAGAAAACTAGTAAATTTATAATTTCTTCGAGACCGAATTCAATTTTCCAGTGGGTATTATTCGTAGTTTTTGATACGTTGGAGTTAGGATTACATTTTTTCTATACTTCCGGAAGTTTTTCTCAATTTTTTTGAATACCCATAGAAACCTTAAAATGTAAGGACAATTTTTAATCCATTCAATTCTTTCAAACTTATAAAGGATTTTGTTTTTCACCTTTTGTTGAAATATACTCTGAATCACGGCCTAAAATCGTAATGAAACATTCTGTATTAAATATCCGTATTTTTCCGGTATGATTGCGAGTGAATCGCTTGTAACACAGCCTTCTGACTACCCTTAATTGGGAAACAGGCATCAAAACGGCGAGTTCATCGAGCAAAGCGACGATGCGACCATTTTCATTACCGTCCGACTTCGCGGAGAAGTACGAGAAGGCATTGTTTGAGCTCAACAGGACGGCCTTTCTTCACCGAAGACTCA